TATATTTATTGTTTTATATATTTATTTGTATTATTATATTTATTGTTTCCACCTAAGGAATTTTAGATTGTTTATATATATATATATATATTAGTGCTGTCAAACGATTAATCGCGATTAATCGCATCCAAAATAAGTTTTTGTTTACATAATATATGAGTGTGTATTGTATATATTTATTATGTATATATAAATACAAACACAAGCATGTATATATTTAAGAAAAATATATTATGTTTATATATTAAATATATATATGATAGAAAATATAATGTAAATATATAAATGTATATACATGTAAATATGTTCGAAATATATACTGAATGTGTGTGTATTTATATATACATAACAAATAATCACAGTACACATACATATATTATGTAAACAAAAACTTATTTTGGATGCGATTAATCGCGAATAATCGTTTGACAGCACTAATATATATAGATCAACCTAATAAATTTTAAGTTTTTTTATTATTATATTATATATATATAGTTCATTAATGTTTAGATGTAGATTTGTTTATATTTATATTATTTCTCTTTCTTTATTTTTTTATTTTTCTTGTGTGTGTATTATATATCACTTATTTATTTATTTATTTTTCCATCCAAGGAATATCTGAAGAATCAGAGTTGATACTTCAGTGAAGCATAACCATGTGAAAGTCTCCTGAGCTATGAAAGAGCAACATCTGAGCGACACATTTTCCTCTGGGTGTCTAATCAGTCATCTCTAATTAACTCGTATCATTGAACCTGCCACACACTGCATAGCAGACATTATACTGCGCCTGCTGGATCTCCGTCAAGCCCACCACTCCCTTTCCTCTGTCCTCCTTTTTCCTCCTCTCTTCCCTTCACATTCTTTTGAAGACTTTCTCTTCCTCTCTCCGATACAGACTCTACGAAGTCACTAGAGCTCGCGCTCTGCCTTGCTGTCAAACAAACACTCGTGTTCTCTCTCTCTCTCTCTCTCGCTCTCTCTCTCTCCTCCTCTCACAAGCTCTCTCGTGCGTGTCTCAGTCGCTCTCCGCTGCTCAGTTCATCATGTTGGCTGGAGAATGCTGCGTGCGGCAGCGCTCTCTCTCCTGCCCTGGCGCGGGACGCATCTGTCCCACCCGCCGCAGCTGAGCACTCTCACGGAGGAGGACGAGCCGGAACGGCAGCAGCAGGAGGACGAAGACGAAGGCTCCGGGGTCCAGCTGGACCCCATGTCCCAACAGATGACGTACCTGCTGGAGGGTCCGGAGGACATGGTGGCGTCGTCCGGGGGGCTGAAGTCTCCAGACTGGGTGTACGAGTCCTACTACCGTATGAGCCAGCAGCATCCGCTCATCGTGTTCCTGTTGCTCATCGTCATGGGAGCATGCCTGGCTCTGCTCGCCGTGTTTTTTGCCTCCGGACTGGTGAGACTCTGTTCTTTATCCACCTACTCTTCTGTACTTTTCTGTCTCGCATTGGACCACAGTGTTTCTCAGGTGGTTCTCAACTGGTTTTGCTTCAGGACTTTGCATTGGAAATCAAGTTGTGACCCAACTATTGAACCCAAAACTGAATTTTCGCTCTGTCAAAATGCTTTTCTTTTACTTTGTTTAGTTTTGTCCATGGTTTTCAGGGTGAGGGCATATAGTCGTATAACCAGTTCATATTGGCATCTGTTGAATTTGACTGGCTTCTGCAAAGTTACCGATGAATTTGTGGCGAAATACCGTAGAGTTTGATTGTTCACACGGCCTTTGATGTCAATAGTAAAAAAAATTGGGTAGCGCTTTCTCCTCCCTCTTAAAAGTTGATAAGTCTGTTTATTTTTCTACATAAACTATGCACAATTATGTGGTTATTTGCATTTAACGTTGCATTTTCACTTCTGTCTGCGACCCCATCAGAAAAGACATACCAGTTGAGAACCACTCTTTATATTTCACTCAAAAATTGACATTCAGTCAATATTTACTCACACATGTTGTTATGAAGTTGTATAATTAGTATTTTTCTGTGAAACACAAAAAGAGAAGTTGTGAAGAATGTTCTGGTCGCTCTTTTTCTTTTAATTACATTAAAATACAATAGCTTTTAGTGAGTAATAGACAATCAGTCAATATTTAATAGACGGTCCCTAGTAAAAAAAAGTAATATATTTAAAATACATTTATTTCATACTAAGTATAGTTCAAATCGTTTAACATATTTACTGACATATCGCTCCAGACTTGTTCCTCAAACAAAGCTGTCATATGACTTCAGCAGACTTGGCATATGTCATAAAAACCACTTGTATGACACTTTTATGTCAGTTTTGAAGCTTGAAGGCTTCAGTTCACATCCAAAAGAAAGTAATTGTAAACAGGAAGACAGTCATACAGGTTTGGAACAACATGAGGGCGAGTAAACGATGACTGAATGTACATTTTTGGGTGAACTGTCCCTTTAGGTTGTTTTTGTTTTGTTCCTATTATGGGAGGCCATTCATTTTCCTCTCTCATCCCACAGTTGTGGTTGTGGTAGCGCTGCAAAAATGGGGTTTTGGTCTATGAGAGAGTGTTTTTACCCTTGTGTGTGGAGTGCAGCACTCTCTCTCTCTCTGTGTCTGCGTGTGTGTGTGTCTTTTTCTCTCTGTGGCAGATTGTGTGAATCTCTTTGGTGAGAGAGCTGTTTCTGAGAGCGCCACTTCTGCAACCCTCATTTTCACCTGCTGTTTCACTCGTTCTCTCTCTGACTCGCATTCTCTCTCACCAGATGCTCAGTTGTCTGTGTTTATGTGTAATGGGTTCAAAAGTATAAGGTCAGATTTATTTTTTTATTTTTTTGTAAGAAATTAATGCTTGTATTCAGCATGGATGCATTAAATCGATCAAAATTGACAGCAAACTCTTTTATGATGTTACAAAAGATTTTTATTTGAAAAAGGCTGTTCCTTTATTAACAAAATTATGTATGTTGGTATATTGTGTCGGCTGATGCTCATCAGAAATGGTTGCATTTTATTTTGTGAATTCACTGGAATGGGGAGAGTTCAGATTAGAGAAATGAAGCGCATCCCAAAGAAAGATCACCTACTGTATCATGATCACATAATCACCTGTTTTTAAGGGAATTGATAGCTCAGTCCATTGCAGAGTTTTTGGAGGACTGAGATCAAAAGCGTAGACTGAATCCCCCATCAGCTAAAGCCCAGCACACTGTCAGCATGCTAATTAAAGCATCGCCACAAAAACAGAACAAATCTCAGTTCATCGACCTCGCTTATCAATTAGGCAGCCGCTCGTGATCATCCCTAGACCCCATTCTTTCAGACGGTAACATTTACTGCCCAATGCGCAGGGACCCGCTTCCTTCATTTACGCAGAGTTTGTGTGTGTGTGTGTGGTGACACAGCTCCCATCATGCTCCTGTGGTTTGACCGCGGGTATGTTGTTTTGAAGCGCTGAGGCTCTTATCTTGGAAACAGCAGTCTGTTTTACACAGGCTGGCTTATGGGGCTGAAAAATGTCATGAAACACAAGCGTTGCTTTATCGGCATTTCTCTGTCCGTCGTGCCTTTTTGTTTCAGTTCAGGGCAGGAAGTTCTGCCTTCTCCTCTTTGAAGGCTTATCTTGTTTTTTCACAGCAAATCTGTCTAAAGATTGTGTTGCTGCTGCACTGTCCTGAGAGATTAAAGATTGATGGAGGGCTGGTGGAGGCGTGCGATAACACGGCTGAAAACAAGAACAAAAGTTCACTCGATTGGAAAGCCACATTAATCAGGTGCACTGGTTAATTAAAGGAGTTTTTCCTTTACCAAAAAAGAAAAACATGTATACTGGTGTGTAATGGCCATTACACACATTTTCAAAATCTTGACCTGTTGAACACAACTTTAGTTATATAGAAATTAATTATAACCAGTGGTGGACAAAGTACACAAATCAAGTCCAAGTACAGATACCCTAATAAAATATTACTGTAGTATTAGTATCTGTAATTCTTTTCAATGATACTGGAGGAAAAGTACAAAAGTATTGATTTTTTATGTACTAAATGTACTTTTAGTATTGAAAGTAAAATGTATTGATCAATGATTTTTTACGTTATTTGTAGTTTTTATCTAAAGTAGCCTACATGTACATATGGTGACATGCAAAGATTAATCGCATCCAAAATAAAAGTTTTTGTTTACATAATATATGAGTGTGTATTGTATATATTTATTATGTATATATAAATACAAACACAAGCATGTATATATTTAAGAAAAATATATTATGTTTATATATTAAATATATATATGATAGAAAATATAATGTAAATATATAAATGTATATACATGTAAATATGTTCGAAATATATACTGAATGTGTGTGTATTTATATATACATAACAAATAATCACAGTACACATACATATATTATGTAAACAAAAACTTATTTTGGATGCGATTAATCGCGAATAATCGTTTGACAGCACTAATATATATAGATCAACCTAATAAATTTTAAGTTTTTTTATTATTATATTATATATATATAGTTCATTAATGTTTAGATGTAGATTTGTTTATATTTATATTATTTCTCTTTCTTTATTTTTTTATTTTTCTTGTGTGTGTATTATATATCACTTATTTATTTATTTATTTTTCCATCCAAGGAATATCTGAAGAATCAGAGTTGATACTTCAGTGAAGCATAACCATGTGAAAGTCTCCTGAGCTATGAAAGAGCAACATCTGAGCGACACATTTTCCTCTGGGTGTCTAATCAGTCATCTCTAATTAACTCGTATCATTGAACCTGCCACACACTGCATAGCAGACATTATACTGCGCCTGCTGGATCTCCGTCAAGCCCACCACTCCCTTTCCTCTGTCCTCCTTTTTCCTCCTCTCTTCCCTTCACATTCTTTTGAAGACTTTCTCTTCCTCTCTCCGATACAGACTCTACGAAGTCACTATAAGAGCTCGCGCTCTGCCTTGCTGTCAAACAAACACTCGTGTTCTCTCTCTCTCTCTCTCTCGCTCTCTCTCTCTCCTCCTCTCACAAGCTCTCTCGTGCGTGTCTCAGTCGCTCTCCGCTGCTCAGTTCATCATGTTGGCTGGAGAATGCTGCGTGCGGCAGCGCTCTCTCTCCTGCCCTGGCGCGGGACGCATCTGTCCCACCCGCCGCAGCTGAGCACTCTCACGGAGGAGGACGAGCCGGAACGGCAGCAGCAGGAGGACGAAGACGAAGGCTCCGGGGTCCAGCTGGACCCCATGTCCCAACAGATGACGTACCTGCTGGAGGGTCCGGAGGACATGGTGGCGTCGTCCGGGGGGCTGAAGTCTCCAGACTGGGTGTACGAGTCCTACTACCGTATGAGCCAGCAGCATCCGCTCATCGTGTTCCTGTTGCTCATCGTCATGGGAGCATGCCTGGCTCTGCTCGCCGTGTTTTTTGCCTCCGGACTGGTGAGACTCTGTTCTTTATCCACCTACTCTTCTGTACTTTTCTGTCTCGCATTGGACCACAGTGTTTCTCAGGTGGTTCTCAACTGGTTTTGCTTCAGGACTTTGCATTGGAAATCAAGTTGTGACCCAACTATTGAACCCAAAACTGAATTTTCGCTCTGTCAAAATGCTTTTCTTTTACTTTGTTTAGTTTTGTCCATGGTTTTCAGGGTGAGGGCATATAGTCGTATAACCAGTTCATATTGGCATCTGTTGAATTTGACTGGCTTCTGCAAAGTTACCGATGAATTTGTGGCGAAATACCGTAGAGTTTGATTGTTCACACGGCCTTTGATGTCAATAGTAAAAAAAATTGGGTAGCGCTTTCTCCTCCCTCTTAAAAGTTGATAAGTCTGTTTATTTTTCTACATAAACTATGCACAATTATGTGGTTATTTGCATTTAACGTTGCATTTTCACTTCTGTCTGCGACCCCATCAGAAAAGACATACCAGTTGAGAACCACTCTTTATATTTCACTCAAAAATTGACATTCAGTCAATATTTACTCACACATGTTGTTATGAAGTTGTATAATTAGTATTTTTCTGTGAAACACAAAAAGAGAAGTTGTGAAGAATGTTCTGGTCGCTCTTTTTCTTTTAATTACATTAAAATACAATAGCTTTTAGTGAGTAATGGACAATCAGTCAATATTTAATAGACGGTCCCTAGTAAAAAAAAGTAATATATTTAAAATACATTTATTTCATACTAAGTATAGTTCAAATCGTTTAACATATTTACTGACATATCGCTCCAGACTTGTTCCTCAAACAAAGCTGTCATATGACTTCAGCAGACTTGGCATATGTCATAAAAACCACTTGTATGACACTTTTATGTCAGTTTTGAAGCTTGAAGGCTTCAGTTCACATCCAAAAGAAAGTAATTGTAAACAGGAAGACAGTCATACAGGTTTGGAACAACATGAGGGCGAGTAAACGATGACTGAATGTACATTTTTGGGTGAACTGTCCCTTTAGGTTGTTTTTGTTTTGTTCCTATTATGGGAGGCCATTCATTTTCCTCTCTCATCCCACAGTTGTGGTTGTGGTAGCGCTGCAAAAATGGGGTTTTGGTCTATGAGAGAGTGTTTTTACCCTTGTGTGTGGAGTGCAGCACTCTCTCTCTCTCTGTGTCTGCGTGTGTGTGTGTCTTTTTCTCTCTGTGGCAGATTGTGTGAATCTCTTTGGTGAGAGAGCTGTTTCTGAGAGCGCCACTTCTGCAACCCTCATTTTCACCTGCTGTTTCACTCGTTCTCTCTCTGACTCGCATTCTCTCTCACCAGATGCTCAGTTGTCTGTGTTTATGTGTAATGGGTTCAAAAGTATAAGGTCAGATTTATTTTTTTATTTTTTTGTAAGAAATTAATGCTTGTATTCAGCATGGATGCATTAAATCGATCAAAATTGACAGCAAACTCTTTTATGATGTTACAAAAGATTTTTATTTGAAAAAGGCTGTTCCTTTATTAACAAAATTATGTATGTTGGTATATTGTGTCGGCTGATGCTCATCAGAAATGGTTGCATTTTATTTTGTGAATTCACTGGAATGGGGAGAGTTCAGATTAGAGAAATGAAGCGCATCCCAAAGAAAGATCACCTACTGTATCATGATCACATAATCACCTGTTTTTAAGGGAATTGATAGCTCAGTCCATTGCAGAGTTTTTGGAGGACTGAGATCAAAAGCGTAGACTGAATCCCCCATCAGCTAAAGCCCAGCACACTGTCAGCATGCTAATTAAAGCATCGCCACAAAAACAGAACAAATCTCAGTTCATCGACCTCGCTTATCAATTAGGCAGCCGCTCGTGATCATCCCTAGACCCCATTCTTTCAGACGGTAACATTTACTGCCCAATGCGCAGGGACCCGCTTCCTTCATTTACGCAGAGTTTGTGTGTGTGTGTGTGTGTGTGTGTGTGGTGACACAGCTCCCATCATGCTCCTGTGGTTTGACCGCGGGTATGTTGTTTTGAAGCGCTGAGGCTCTTATCTTGGAAACAGCAGTCTGTTTTACACAGGCTGGCTTATGGGGCTGAAAAATGTCATGAAACACAAGCGTTGCTTTATCGGCATTTCTCTGTCCGTCGTGCCTTTTTGTTTCAGTTCAGGGCAGGAAGTTCTGCCTTCTCCTCTTTGAAGGCTTATCTTGTTTTTTCACAGCAAATCTGTCTAAAGATTGTGTTGCTGCTGCACTGTCCTGAGAGATTAAAGATTGATGGAGGGCTGGTGGAGGCGTGCGATAACACGGCTGAAAACAAGAACAAAAGTTCACTCGATTGGAAAGCCACATTAATCAGGTGCACTGGTTAATTAAAGGAGTTTTTCCTTTACCAAAAAAGAAAAACATGTATACTGGTGTGTAATGGCCATTACACACATTTTCAAAATCTTGACCTGTTGAACACAACTTTAGTTATATAGAAATTAATTATAACCAGTGGTGGACAAAGTACACAAATCAAGTCCAAGTACAGATACCCTAATAAAATATTACTCCAGTGAAAGTATCTGTAATTCTTTTCAATGATACTGGAGGAAAAGTACAAAAGTATTGATTTTTTATGTACTAAATGTACTTTTAGTATTGAAAGTAAAATGTATTGATCAATGATTTTTTACGTTATTTGTAGTTTTTATCTAAAGTAGCCTACATGTACATATGGTGACATGCAAATGTAGACATTTCCATGTTTAAATATTTCATACACTTTTTCAGCAAATTTAGTTCAAAAACTGGATAAGTCCAATTTGCCTATGTAGCATTCGATTTGCGAATTTGAATTGGTTCCTGCTTTGCGGACCAATTCAACAGGTTCATTGAATATAATCAGCTTGTCTGCGATCACTATCACGTCTCAGAGCGGGTGTTGATTTCTTCAGTTTGAAATAACAAGAAATTATATGTTTTTATGAAATGTAGTCGAGTAAAAAGTACAATATCATACTTCAGAATGTAGTGAAGTAAAAGTATCCCAAAATAAATGACAGATACTTGAAAAGTTTACTTAAGTACAGAATCAAAGTAAAAATAAATGTATTAATTTTTGAAGAAAATGTGAGTGGTGCTTGACTGTGCAAGAGTAGTGTAGCTATACCTAAGGTGTTTCCAGTTATTTATTTATTTTGCCAGTTTTATGATCCGCCAGGTGAAAATCGTGGGTCTGATAATTAAGAAAACAAGCCACTCTCCTCGACAAGCCACATGGTTTGAGGACACACTACTAGAATTGTGCTTTTGACGTAGGAACTATATATTTTGATTCAGTTGTTCACTTAAAAAGCATCTTCTAATTGGCAATTTCTTAACTAAAATGAATAATAGCCCATCAGGCAATGATTTATGTGTTATGTAACACACTTGATACCAATCGATTTTCAACCGGCTTGCGGTTAATCGTTACATCCCTATCATTAAAACATTTTAACTTCAAACCATTGCTTCCAGCTAATAATATTGCTTTCTCCAGTGAAAAAGTCATCTTGTCTGAATTAGGATATAAATATGCACAGATCAAGCACTGTTTACAAGCAAAAACACTCCAAAACTTCATTCATTCACAAGACAGTAATCGATGGACTGGAGGGGTGTGGATTACTTGTGGATTATTGTGATGTTTTTATCAGCTGTTTGGACTCTCATTCTGACGGCACCCATTCACTGCAGAGGATCCAGTGCTGAGCAAGTGATGTAATGCTAAATGTCTCCAAATCTGTTCCCATAAAGAACAAACTCATCTACATCTTGGATGGCCTAAGGGTGAGTAAATTTGAAACAAATAAAAAATTCTTGTAAAGAAACATTCCTTAAAGTGTGTCAGGTTTATCCAAATCTTTTGTTGCCACTGTATCTTTCTTTTATTATAAAGCTGAGTGTAAATATGGATACAGAACTGATGAGCAAGCTGTAATAGATGCTTGTGTGAGATGAGTGTCAGTACTTTGGAAGAATAATAAGAGTATGAAAAATGCATGACTCCATACCGTTCCAAAAATTACAGGTGCACTAGTGGAATTATATACGCACATCACACAATGCAATACAAGAATCTTTATTTTTTTTGTACTGCAATTGTGAGACAATGAAAGTGTGGCTCTGTTTTGACAGTTAAAAATACATGAGTATGTGGGTACGGTGTAAGTTTGCTTTCTGCTGACGGTGAGTGGCATGTTTTACATTTTTGCCCCATCAGCAAGTCTGCAGGGCCGCAAAACCACAGTAAACAAACACAAACTCAGATTAAACTGAAATGCTCAGACAAATGAGCAGGAAGTGCCTGTGGAAGGGATAGTGCTGTAACAAAGCACCTCGATGTGTCCGTCTCTCTGCCTTCGTGGCCCCTGCAAAATGGAGTTAAATGGATTTAAATGGGCTCACATGCACAATCAGCTGGCTATATGAGCTCTGGCCCTTGATAGCGTGAAGAAAAGAGACTGATAGGAGCCAAGTCTGATTCATGCTGTGAGGGATGAAAGAGTGAGGAGAGTAGGAGAACAGGAAGGAGAAGGGCTGATGGGAATGGGCCTAAAATAGGGATTTCATGGCTAATCATGTAGGCAGTGAATCTGCACTTTGATGTAGACATTTAATTATAATTGCCCTGGAAAGAGGGAGGGGAATGTCAGATGGATGCACATTGTTTAGTAGTGTTTGCTAAGGCAAGCATTATTATTGCATGTAAATTAAACAAATCCTAATATAACCCTTTGCTCATAACTCGCACCACTATGCAACGGACATGAATGATGCTAGACATTAATGGTACCTTCAAGGTACTAATATGCACCCTTTAGCTGTATATAAGATAAAAAAGTGTACCTTTTGAAAAGGTACCATCCCAGTGACAGCTTTTGTACCTTTTTTTTCTGAGAGTGTGCAGGTGGTGTCAAGTAGACAAAGATGCTAAACAAGAAATGAACATAGACTTATAAATCCAGGCCCTGGATTCTTCTAGAACATAACAAATAATTAAAATAGAATTAATTACTTTGTAGACTAACATTATCAATCCGTGTATCATTCGATCATTCGTTTTTTGATTTAATATTGAAAGTAGAAAAGGCACGGTTTGATCTTCGGCTGACCAATCAGCAGAAAGGGGCGTTTAATTCCCGCCCACATGTAGAAATCGAATATTCAAGCTGTTTATTCATTTTTCCACCCATGAACGAAAAACGAAAATTTAAGCTGAATTCTCGTTTTTCGTTTTTTGGAAAAAACGAAAAAGGAGCCGTTTTCTCATTTTTCTACTTTCAATATTAAATAAAAAAAACGAATGATCGAATGATACATGGATTATTATCATTATCCTGTCTATATTGTTGATTTGTTTTGTTTTTGAAAATCATTCCACCACATCTCAAATTATATTTTTTATTTTCTGTGATAGAAATGTCTAGGGTGGATGTGACACTTTAAACATTTTTGGAATAAAATGACACTCTTTTGTTTTGATGATGAATACTTTCACATTTTGTCATAATTTGACAAAATTACAGCTTGATTGGAAATTATACACAATTCTGTTCGCAAGTGATATTTACCTTGATTGTTCTTGTTCTTTACACATTACATCTCAAATCTCCTGCATGTTGTCTCCTTGTCAAAGGGATCTCCACACAAAAATGAAAATTCTCTCATCATTTACTCACCCTCATGCCGTCTCAGATGTGTATGAGTGTCTTTCTTCAGATGAACAGGAATGAAGATCTTTAGACAAATAATCTACCTCTGTGAATCCATATAATGCAAGTGTATGGGACCTCCAAAGCGTACACTTCAAAAGCAACACAAAGTGAACACAATGATAACTCATAAAACCCCAGTAGATGAACCACTGAGAAAAATACTAATCATTTAAATGCACATATGAGAGTTGGCTTGAAACAATGGTACATTCAAAAGGTTCAAAATATGAGTATTTTTCTCAGACACACCTATCGGTTACTATTGCGTTCGCTTTGTGTTGTTTTTGAAGCATCAGCTTTGTGAGTCTGCTTTGTACACTGGCATTATGTGAACTCACATGGATTATTGATGGATTATTTTTCGAAATATATTTGCGTTCATCTGAAGAAAGAAAGTCATATACATCTGAAATGCTAGAGAGAATATTTTGGGTGAAGTATCCCTTTAAAGAAGTACTTCACCAAAAATGTACTTTGGGTACATATGTTCAATGTGGTCAAAATTACACCACATCTGTTGTAATTCTTGAAAAATGTATACAAATGAAAAATTTTTTACATTATTATTATTTTAGTTTATCATAGTTTTAAATGTAATAATTAATTGATGGCTTTTTACATTTTTAGATAAAAAAATCTGGGTCTGTGACAAGGCAAACAAAAAAAACGTACACAAAAGTAAAAGTAACAAAAATAAATTATGAATGTGTGGTATGAAGTTTTCATATGCAGTTTTAATGTCACCTTGGTTCCCTCAACAAAAACCCAATAGGATTTTTCCTTTATTTATTTATTTATTTTTTATTTAAATTTTTTTTTTATTATTGCAGAAAATAAGCTTTGTGACCAACAAAAGTTTATGATTCTTACATGTTTTGTTCACAACACAACTTATGAATTTTGAAGACTAGTAAGTAGAAATGTAAGCTAAACAAACTATGCCAGTGCTTCCCTTCAAATTTTTTCAGTCTTTTTCCCTGGAAGTTTGAGTTAGAATAGTTAGCAAGAGTGTGATTATAAACAGTGAGGCTGTGAAAGCGACTAGCGAGTATGAGTTTACCTATTCAGTGTGATGATGTTTAATGACAATCTCTGTAGTCACATTTAGACACTTGTTAGCAACTGCCTTTTTCAAGACAGGTAAAAATTCAGACATTATTTAAGGCATTTAACCAAAATCCCATTCAAAAAACCAATTGGCTTCATGACAATGGATCCGAAAAAGCTAAAATGTGAGCTCGCGTCTGTGTTTTGGCCTACAAAAATACATGATCCCTGCAGCACGTGAGTCTGTAGCAATCACCCAGAACGTCTTAGCAACCATCTATCAATCCCCTAGCAACCACGCTGAACTCCCTAGCTTTGTGACAGCAACTTTTTCACAATGAAGCATTTATTATTTATTACTTTTATTTTCTTTCATTTTCAAGTTATAATCTATGTTGAGTTATTTCAGTGCATAAAAAAGTGAAGCAGGTGTGGGCCCTTCTTTGTCTGTCTGTGGCTAATGGAAACAAAAAGGGTGTGTTCCCCAAGAGTTCATTGAGAATCGATCTGCGTGCCAGAGTTCCCTTGAATTTGTAGTACTCCCTGGGGTGTCTCCTATAATGGCTGGTGAGTGATACTGTGGGACTGGCATTATATTACTGTGAGTTTGCCAGCTCAGTGCTCTCTCATCATTCACAAAACACACACACAGTCATCCGAACCGATGGTGCAACACCACATTAGCCACATCTACAGCACCCGTACAAGCCACACACACACACACACACACCTCAATAAATAATTAGTACCTGAATTGAATGATGTGGTTGTAATCTGTGATTTTTTTTTTTTTTTAGCTGAATAGCTTTAAGGATGGCCAGAGAATGAAGTCGTCTTTGCTCAATTCAAACCGTAATAAACCCTCCATGGCATATGTCATGAGTCATCTCCAATAAATCTGCATAGATAATGTAGCTATAATGTAGTTATTAAAATTCTCTTCTCTGACTGTACCCTCCTGCCGCGGCTCTGTCTATTTCTGTCTCCGTCTGTAGTAGATGAACAGTCTGTGAGTGTGTGACTGTAAGTCTAGACTGAGTCCCTCACACTCTTGCAGTCAAACAGAGAATTACTGAATGGTGATGAGAGCTACAGGTAGAAATAGACTTTATGAAAGCTCACGGTTTGCCTCTTTCAAGTCAGTATGGAATTAAATTGACCATATTTACCTTTTTTTAAAGGGATAGTCCTACCAGAAATAAATCATTTACTCAACCTTCTATTCCAAATCAGTATTACCTACTTCGTAACGTGAGATACAAAAAAAGAAATTTGAAAGAATGTACTGATCACTCCTTTCCATGCAGTTAAATTTACTACAGACTATTGTAGACGTTCAAGTCTCCAAAACAACACAGAAGCACCATAAAATGGTCAAGATTTTTTGAAAGAAATTACTGCTTTTGTTTAACAAGGATGCATTAAATCAGTCAAAAGTTGATAATACTAATAAATGTTTCTTGAGCAGCAAATCAGCATATTAGAATGATTTCTGAAGGATCATGTGACACTGAAGACTGGAGTAATGATGCTGGAAATTCAGCTTTGCCATCACAGGAATAAATTAATATTATTTTAAAATATATTAAAATTCAAAACAGTTATTTAAAATTGTAATAATATTTCACAAAGTTACTGTTTTTACTGCATTTTTAAAAATTAAATAAATACATCCTTGGTGAGCTTAAGAGACTTCTTTCAAAAATATTTTAAATGACCACAAAGCTTTTCTTTACAATGAATCAGTTTATCCGGTTCACATTTTTCATTGCATATCCTGTTTCACTCAAATATGCCACATAATGGAAGTGAATTGGTTGCAAATGTTGTTTCATGTTGACTTTAATATACATTAATTGATTTGATTACATTTTATGAACGCCAACCCCATATAACGATATAAAATGTTTTTCAAATGTTAATTGTCCATATTAATAATTCAACAGTAAAAACACTACTTTCCCACAAAATACACTTTGACAGAGCACATTATGCTAATGAAAAAGTTTGGACATAATGGACTGAACTCTGGTTCAAAGTATAAGGTTAGGGTCAGAGTTTTTGTCATAAGATCATAGAAGAATCTATCTTTCAGTTCTTCTTTGTATTAAATCCAGCTCTAAATGTGCCTTGTCTGTTCTTTTCCAGCACATCTCAATAGACAGTTCTCTTCTTCATCAGCTAGCGAATGCATCAATGAATGAGCCGTGAACTGTCATTGTGTTTCCACAGACCATGGAGGAGCACATGGCCTTCATCATGACTGTGCCCACAACTCTGGCCATTTTTCTCGCCATCTTCATCCTCGTCTGCATTGAGTCGGTCTTCAAAAAGCTTCTCCGCCTCTTCTCCCTGCTCATCTGGGGCTGTCTGGTTGCCATGGGTTACCTCTTCATGTTCTTCGGTGGGATCATCTGTCCATGGGACCAGGTGAGACTCGAGTGACAGCACTTTCATCGCTCTCCGCAATCGTTCTTCAGTGACCACCTTCGACCTCTACGGCTATCACTTCCTAATTTACCTTTTATCATACTGAAGTGCTCAGAATTAAGTATACGCCATGCATAAAACATGACTTGCGTCAGTGCAATCTATATATGTAGATGTTCAAGTAAATTGCTCGGATGTAAAGCGCTAGGAGACGCAATGAAAGCGCTGCACAATCATGCAGATATTCACTAACGCAGTGTCATTTTCCTTCAGTCATTTGCACAGTAATTCATGAATTTTAGTGTGCGAGCTGTTCTGTGCACTGAATCATTCATTAGTCCATTGAACTCTGCTTAACGCAGGATTTTGGCTAATGACTGTGACACAGTCTCAACATAAATGCATGTCTTAGAGTAATTATGACAGTTGGCGCTATTTCTGTTCGCCTCTGCTTCCATAAAACAAATCAGGTATTAAACAGACTTGCTTAGCTTGTACGCACACTTTGTTTTTTCTTCTTCCCACTCTGCTCCGTTAGCGAGGAGGAGGTGCAATCAGCCCAGCCACCACTCAACAAGATGGCAAAAACATCCACGGTTTGGTCGTCTTTTATAAACAGCTCTTGAGTTATGATATTACGCTGGCTGTAAGAGGAGAGATCGGCTGTTCTGTGCACGAGTAAATGTAGCTCACCGTGAGTCATCCAGGCTGTTTGCTCGACATGACTTAATAACTCAGATGGGCTCAGTGATCTGGAAATGATGAGATATGCATATATGACACAAATTGGCTCTTGGTCAAAGGGCGGCAACATTTCCCTAGGAACTACTTCAGTAAAAGCTAGGTGGCACCTACATGACATCCATTTTAAACAATTAATATGCCCACTATCTTGGAGAGATGTCACCATCAGAAGTGAGGTAGTTTGTAGTTCAGTTTATTTTCAGGAATATATGGCCTCTCTGCCCATAGTTCCACAAGATCACAATGACATGGCAGATACTCTTTTCTTCATTCTATGGTATATATACAATGACAATCTCCATGCATACTCCGAATCACAAACACTTGACACATCAGTACAGACATCACCAACAAGAAACAAGATCACCTAAATATTTCTTACTCAAATCCACATACAAAGAGCAATCATACAAGAAATGCTTCTCAACTTCTCTCACAGAAATATTTGATGTTAACACAATAATTACAGATTCTTTCTGCCACTGATGTATTACTCCATCTACCCGTTTCTATAGCTAAATGATGACTTGAACATCTAAAAAGGAACAATGATCGTACCAGTTGCATGTTATATACAGACGCAGTGTAGCTCTCTTGTACTAACAAAGATTTGTATTGTAAAATATATATTTAACTTTTTATTTTCTATAACTGATGTATACCATGCCTCGTGTGCTTTTTCTTTCAATCGTTGGTTAAGAATAGCTATGAATGTTCTTATATCACCTACACTTTGAGCCTCCCAAGCACTAGAAAAGCCATAAAAATACAGCAAAACTCTAAAGTAAGTAACCCATGTTTTTCTATACTTCATGTAACTGAAAAAGCATATTATAACATTTCCTTGGATAACGATGATTAGACACTAATTTTATCCAGAAGTGAGGTTATGAATACCATATTAATGAATGGCCCAAAGTTGTAGTTGCATTATTTGATCGTGCTCCCGCAATATCTTTTTTTTTTTTTGCAATTTTATTTTGTTTTCTTTGCTTTGCTTTCATTTTGATTTTTTTTGTTCTGTTTTGCTTTTGTTTTGTTATAGTTTGCTTTGCTTTCTTTTGATTTTTGTTTTCTTTGTTTTGCTTTCTTTTGATTTTCCTGTTCGGTTCTGTTGTGCTTTGCTTTGGTTTTTTGTTCTGTTCTGTTTTGCTTTTATTTTGTATTGTTTGTTCTGTTGTTTTGCATTTGCTTTGCGTTTAGTTGCTTTGCTTTTATTTATATATTTTTCATTTTCTGCTCTGTTTTGCTTGGCGTTGATTTTGCTTGGTGTTTCGTTGCTTTGCTTTTATTTATTTATTTATTACTTTCTGCTCTGTTTTACTTGGCTTTGCTTTGCGTTGTGTTTCATTGCTTTTGTTTTGTTTTGCTTTGCTTTGCTTTGTTTCTTCTGGATGGCCTGTTTTAGAGACAAAGGGGCTAAAGGAACTAAATTACCTTTCACTCTGTTATGTATTGGTCCACATTTAGGTGAGCCACAATTCAATTAATGTATAGAAAATCGTGATACTGGGCCATGCTAATTTACTCCCTACGCTTAGTGCAGTCTGAGCTCACGAGCTGTGACCGAAGGTTTAGCTCTAGAGGGAACCAGGTGTATGGTGCAGGAAATTCAGATAAGCCTGCTAATAAGGCTTCGCATACGTGACGGGAAGAACTAGTCGGGTTCAGGCGATCTGAATAAGCTACCACCTAATTAGCACTCAGAGTACTGCAGCAAAGTACTAATTAGCAAAGAGTTTCTGAATGTTTCTGGATGTGTCTTGAAGTAGCATGTGTGCGCTTATTAGCGGAATTGAATTGCACAGTAGCTACGTCTACGATAGTTGAAGACTTAAGGAGCTCTATTAGGCTATGCCGTATTTAATTTCCTGTTTTTACTGTAGATTTTTAAGCTACACACTGTGCTCCTAGTACAGTTTTCTCTCTGGTTATGTTCTTTGAGGTGCAACAAGCTACACAGCCACATTGCTTGAGCTCTAATAAGCTATACACTTGGAGTCACTTTGCAACACTTACAAGGAAAAACTATAGAGTCCCCTACTATAGAGTCGCCAGCATGGGTCGAGGTACTACTGCAGATGAAAAGCCCTCACTATTCCTCACATAAGTCTGTAATGCAGGCATTATTAACCCACAGCAGTAGTTCTCCATTAGAGACGCCCGTGAAAAGCCAGCAGCCTTTGTATGTTGTAGAGAAGAAAGAACATAATTGAGCTCAGAGTCAGCATAGGAACAAAAGGTAGCCATACTCACCTTACGCCAATCAGCCTGAGGGCAAATCAGAAGAAAAGACCCCCAAAAACACACTGTCTTGCGTATCTTCATTTCCCACAATTTGGTGTTGCCAGAGGTGCTGATTGAATGCCTTATGAAGGATGTAAAAGAATGATGGGGAACTAATGAAGTGATGAGAGAGTGAAGGAGGCAGACAGGTGAAAAATAGATTTTGAGTCACTTTTTTAATACTTTTTTAAAAAGGAGGAGGGCAAAGGAAAAATGCCTTCTTGTGTAAATCAATGGCGATTGCTCTAAGATGGTGTGGGAAGCAAGTAGTGAGAAGTGGGAAGCCGCTTTTAGCAGCATTGTAGACAGTCACTATGATAAAAAAAATATATATGTGAATACACATTTTGTCGTTGACAGGTGACAGGTAGGTGCATCCCTACATTTGAAAATCACCAGCTGCCACTGCTGTCAGTCAGGAATCAATGCAGTTAATGTGTTAAGGTTAATTCTGGTAGTAAATTTTGGTTCCAACACTGAAAATTACACAAGTAAAATACACATTATAATTGAAAAAAATTATAATAATAACGTAAAATGCGCTGCACACATCTGAATATTTGACGTTGAATGAACAAGAAATATGTCCATATTAATTTAAATATTTTTTGTTTACAGTGTTTATTTCTCCATGAAATTGTAATTTACACCTTTTAACTGTTTATATTTTCACTTGATCTGTCAGTTTAATGCTGTATCATGCTTGATTTCTTCATCACTCTAGTTCCCAGAAATTGTACTGGGAGCCAGAGGCCAAAGAGAGAATATTTAGGATTCAGTGCCGTATAACCTGGTCTGATGTAGAATAAGACCACTGAATTGAACTGCCGGTCTTAATCCTGCTAGCAGATAGACCAGAACTTTAAGCAGGCATGGAACTGGCAAGCAATCAGTTCATTTGAGAGATTAAGCATCTAACCTTGCCAATTCTTGAGGCTAAACTCTGACGCTTCAAAACTTTAGCGAAAACACAAACTGTCTGTCCAATCCGGGGTGAAAGTGCGAGATGCCCCTCGGCTCGGAGCCCAGCGGAGCGTTCTGTCTGCTAGGGGATTCTCTCTCCTTCACAAGCCAAATGTAACCATTCCTGACAGTTTCTCTGATCCTCCTCTGCGCCGGACAGAGTGGAAATGGCGATCGATAAGGCTCAAGACATGTTGTGTCTGAAAAAATCACTGCCCTGCAATCTGTTTGTTTTTTGGCAGTATGTGTGTGTGTGTGTGTGTGTGTGTGGTCTGTGAGGCTGACCAAGCCAGAAATCCATTAGGCTTTGCTGCCGTCCAGTGCCCTATCTGCCATTCCTCCAGTGCTAAATTGAGCCCTCGCTCACAAAAAAACAGCACTCAGTGTAAGAAAATATAAAACATAAGTTTTGGAATATTTATGAGCGTATTACATCGTTCAAGCGTTAAAAACCTGCTGAAACCTGCAGTTTGGCACTAACTCAAAGACTACAGATCATTTAAAGGGGACATATTGTGAAAAACAGAATGTTTCTTGTTCTTTTGAAATATATGAATGTTGGTAGTGCAAAACATTTTCAAAAAATACTGCCCTCATTTACATATTAAAGAGATAGTTTACCCAAAAATTACAATTCTGTCATTTACTCATCCCCATGTCATTCCAAACCTGTATGAGTTTCTTTCAGCTGTTGAATACAAAATAAGATATTTTGAAGAATGTTGGTATTAAAACAGTTGACGGTAGCCATTGACTTCCATAGAATGGAAAAAAATACTATGGATGTCAATGGCTACCGTCAACTACCACATTCTTCAAGATTCTTCTTTTGTGTTTAACAGAAGGAAGAAACTGAAGAAAGAAGGGGTAAATGTGGGCAGTGGCATCGCTAGGTTTTATGGCCCTCTTGTACAATTTATTGCTTACCCCCTTAGCAACGTTCCTGCATATTAATACTCGTTCAGTATTTAGCAACTTTGCTATCCTGATAAATGTCTGCATATGTTAGCACACAGATTAACCAATGATAACAGATATTTCAGAAGTATTAAAAGTAAGGTAGCAACAGCTAAGTAACTATAACATAACACTAAAAGGTAGTGGTAACACTATTTTAAGTACCAATTCTCACTATTAACTAGTTGCTTATTAGCAGGCATATTACTAGCATATGGCTGTTTATTAGTACTTATAAAGCACATATCAATGTCTTATTCTGCATGACCATATTCTAGATCCCTTAATCCTACCCCATTCCCAAGCTTAACAACTACCTTACTAACTATTAACAAACAGCAAATTAGGAGTTTATTGAGGCAAAAGTTTAGGTTAATAGTTAGTTTACTTTTATAGTTAGTTTATAGTGAGAATTGGTCCCCAAACTAAAGTGTGACGTGTGACCTAAATAATATATATAAAAAAGTGCAGCATATGTCCCGTTTTTCTTTTTATATATTATTTTCTTTATATTAATTTTCCTTTCAGCTTCATTTAATTTATCAGAGTATGCTACACCTCTTGTAAAAGCTGCAAATCAAATTTCAAACAAATTCCTTGATCTTTTGAGATAAAAGAGCTTGATGTACACTGAAACTTCCAGAGCCTATCTATCTTTCCAGTCAAAAAAGTGCATTTACTAAACTGAATGTACGTAACTTTCTGATGATGAATGCATCAGCTCAGGAGTTCCCACATTTATTACGTCAATGAGGAATATTGGATGATCAAAAACCTGAGATAATAAGATAAAAGCAGGATAGATATTTTTTTCCTGCACACCACATAAACCACTGATAAGAGTAAAATGTAGTGAAAGTTTGCCAAACCTTGTGCTGCTTCTGGCTGAGTGTAGCTCCAGCCTTCTTTATATTATTCTAAAGGATCCCAGTGTTAGGAAAAAGTGGCTGAAGTTTATTTTTAACAGTGTCCCTGATCATTTTAGTATGAACAGTTTGAGCAGCACATTTTGTGCAGCAAGATTGCTTTGTAAACAGGCTGTTACGACAGGCTGCAGGGTGAAAAATGTATTACATAAAAATCTCTTTAAAAATTTATACTATATTGGACAGCTGAGCCAGAGCACAAATATATTATATACATAATATGTAAGCCCAAAATACATTACACAAATATACACAGATGATTTTGCATTTTTGAGTCCATTATTGATGTTGAGTGGTTGATTGGTTAAGGATGGTTGGCGTTTGCGAGACTGTCGGTGTCAGAATGAGCTCCAGTCCACCTCAACATGAATTGTAAAACTCTCCTGTAATAAAGGCCTTTGTGCACAAACATGTCAAATTGTCAGCATTGATTGAGAGCCTGTTACTCTCTCAGCATTGTGGGCGAAGGAAAGCAAACCAACACTCACGACCCATGTTTCATCATGGTATCAGCTCAATTTTTGAAGTGCTTGTCGTCATGAAAACGCCATGCAGTTACTCGATGAAGCAAATTTCAAAGATACAAATAGCCTAACAAATGCCTAAATCTACAGTTTTCATGCTGGAATGAAACATAACAATGTCATTTTAGTGTTTAATTTCCTTCCAAATCATGCAAGACATGCAGTAAAAAGTGTTGCGCTTTTTATTGGTGCAGAGATGAGTGTGTGTATTTTTAAAAACATTTGCAACTACTTTTTATCACTTAACTCTTTCCCTGCCAGCATTTTTAAAGAAAGTTGCCAGCCACCGTCAGCATTTTTTATCACTTTCACAAAAATTTAATGGCCTCCAGAATATTGTGTTGTATGAATATCTGAACATGCAATATGTCAAAAGAAAGAAAAAATTCTAGCTTCATGCATTCTTTTTTATCAACACTTGAGTGAACAAAAAGCTGAGAAAACTGCGCTTTTTGTCAAAGACTACATTCAGAATGATGATCAAAACAGATGGAGTAGATCGCTTCCATCAGCACCCCCAGAGCTTGCACAGTCCTATACCACTTCCTGGGTCGATTTCATTCGGTAACGCTAGGCAGTTTTGATTTACAGTATATGCTGTTTAATGTTTGGTGATTGCATTATTTATGCATCTGCTTATATATGAAAATCTGAATGGATTTTAAAACACTAGGCATCATGCACTTGCCGACTTTGTAAATAGTTACAACTGGGCATCATACACTAAACCACATAGCCTAATGCTAAAAATCTAAAAGTCTGTGACCATCATACACTACACAAATTTCTGTCAAATCTGTCAACTCAAATCTGCAGACTGATTTTGACTTTCAGCAACTAGCGTCAACTTATCTGAACTGTAAATCGGGGCAAAGATCTGGGTGAAAGTCATGTAGTGAATTTCAGCATTTATCTTGATCTGATCTCTGTCCTATGTTTGTGAGCTGTAGATGTTAAATGGCAGTCTAATGCACCTTTAACTCTGTTTGCAGGTGTCGTTTTTCCTGTTTATTGTGTTTGTGGTGTACACCATGCTGCCGTTCTCCATGAGGGATGCCGTCATCGCTAGTGTCCTCACTTCATCCTCCCACACACTAGTGCTCAGCATCTGGCTCTCAAACACTACGGGCCACATGGAGGCCCTCGTCTGGCAGGTAAATGTGTGTGTGTGTGTGTGTGTGTGTGTGTGTG